TTATATACCACTTTGAGCCAAACCAGCAGCAAATTCTTTTCCATCATTCATTTCAGCCACAGCTTGAACAGATTGTTCGAAGTGCTCTAAAAAACTAAGACACGGTACAACAGAGGCTTTGCTGCCACTTCCTTCTTCTAATATGATGCAGCATAGCTTGGTAGTTTGGAATGAGATCAGAGTATCAGTAGCAATACTGACAGCTTTGCTTCTACCTCAGACGTTACAGTTCTTCGTTTATTCCACTTACCACCTGAAACATTATACATTCCTATGAAGGAATGGCACTGTAACTGAGTGTTTCAGTGAATCCAGAATAAACCAGAAACCTCTATGCTTATTCCTTCTCTCCAGGGACAATCCTGTGCAGTCAGACAACTTGCTGCATTCCTGATATTTAATGAGCATTTAGTAAGACTGACATAAGTGAGTTCTGGTTCACCAGAGCCCTGTGAATGTTGTGGTCCACACTACATTGATTCTCTGAACCTCATCGTCAATACCAGGAAAACCAGCTTAGTATGGCACAGTTTGTCCATGCCAGAACAAGGGATTAGATTTAAGACTGATAGGACTTCTCCAAACCAGAGATGCCTTCCCAAAGTTTGGGGTTTTTTGTTTTAAGTCAAAAAAGGTGCAATAAAGCATCTCTCCTCAAACCCTGAAAAGTAAAGTGACTTGAAGATAAAAATGCCACCGTTGGAAGGTCTACTGACACCCAGTCTATGCTGGCACCCAGATAGGGAGTGGATGAGCTTCTGTGTTAAATACGTATTTGTCAAGGTTGATTAAGTCTATGTCATCTGAAAACAGCAGAAACATGTATTTGAGCGTTTCCCCAAGGAAGAAGCTCTCCATCTTATCTCGTGGCTCTGGATTACTGGGATTCTGGACGTTGTTAATGGAAGTATAACCGCCTGTAGGAACCTGTGCCAAAAACAAACAAACAAACAAAACCACAAACCAGAAATTTTGTATATTCCAAAAATCTAAAATAAATTATTTTCACTTAACATACACATGCACTTGGAGAAAATAAGCGCTAAGAAATAGATCAGCATGTTTTTAATTTCATACTTGGTTCTCATTTACATATAAAACATCAGTTATGCAAAAAATCTCATTGCATTTTAAAAGAAACCATGAGGATAAAATGAAGCAAAATGTCCCTTTATGCTTACTTTAAAGAGGTATCACAAAGAACATCCTATTGAAGTTTCGGGACAAACATTACAAGACAGTAACTAGTGCAAATTCTGCATTAGAGTAGGTCAAAGTACCATACCTATTCTCTTCAGAACAGATGTTAATATTTAACGACTGGCATCTAGGCCACACTTTTTTCAATGACTGGCATCTTTCACAGCATGTCAGAGTGGTATCTCCATGAGCACCATAGTCAGAATTAATACAAAACCCCCTCTATTAAAACATTAATGCCATTTTGTGGCAATTTTCCTTTTTTTTGGCAACTTCAACCAAAGGGTTCTTTCAATCCAGCCAGGTCCTTCTCAGTTTTTAAATTCTACAAAAGATCACAGCAGTGATTCTAACATCTTCCAGGAAGACAGAGAGACACTTTCGTATTCTCCATACAGCTTCTGCATTTTACTTTTTAATCAATGCAATACAAGTCGTTTCCCTGAATGTACTAAGTAGTGTTTCTCAAACGGTAAGGCACTGCCTGAATTGAATTTTTCTGTGTGTTCTTATGAATTTCCACGCATGTATTTGATGACTCTTGAAAGATAGTAGGTTTCCAAAGTTCTTGTTAGAGAGCAAGTGAGTGAATACAGGCCTGACAGAACAAGCTAATTATAGGCTGACCTTACCCGTGTGTATTTATTGAAGTTCTGCAAGATTTCCCAGCCCCAGTCTTGGTACTTCTTATCACCAGTGAATCTGTACATATAAAAAAGGCTTTCCACAGTTTCTGGTCGCAGTAAGTTGTGCCTGTCTGCAGGCTGCAAGAGAAAAAAAAAAAAAAGCAAGAATTATTCAGACAGGGAATTTCCTCGAGGACACGTGCAGGAAGAAAAATAGAGACTCCCATCTCCATCTACCCCAAAGAGTTTATTATGCATAACTCAGCTTCTAAAAACACTACAGCGGTAATTAAAAACAAAGGCTAGGGTACACCTAGAAAGTGAGACAGCAAAAGAACAAGCTGCTCCACAACAAAGCACATCACCAATATCCAGCAGAATAGAGAAACAGAAGAATCATCCCATTACAGTTCAGGCCAGCTAGCCGTTCACCTTGATTTCCACATCTTTGTGGCCCTTTTGTGCATGAAGATTGAAGTGTACGATCTCTGGACTCAGGCCTGTCTCTACTTGAGCATACATCTGGTAACAGGTTTGTATAAGGGCTTCAGCCAATTTCATATGATCAGCAGTCAATCCATTGTGAGCTCCCAGAGCCAAAGTACCAGGCAAGAAGCAAACCAAGTGATCCTGCAAGGCAAGACTACTATTACTGGGGGAAAATTACATAACAAACAAGTATCTGTGTGTGTGTGTGTGTGTGTATGTGCGCGCGCGCCTCCCTGTGTCCCTACGTATATGTCTTCTTCCACCACCACCACCCCCGCCTTCTTTCTCTTCTTCAAAATATGTTTCAGGTACTAAGAACTTGAGGATAACTTTTTAACAATCTGCAGGAGGCAGGCAGCATTATTACAGAGACACCACTAATTTGGAAAATGTACAAGACTGTGTGCTTTTATGTCAAGTTTCTGAAAAAAGGGTCTCGGGTCAGGGCAAGGAGGAAGAGAGCATCTTTTGGTTTACCAGAAGTATACATTTCGTACCAACTCATTAAGAGGGGTGGGCAGCACCACCTCAAGGATTCTCAATAGAGACATCAAAAGGGACAACATATGGGACAAACTGATCATCTGAATTTAATTTTAATCTTAAAATGGAACAGAGATGGGAGTCAGCCACAGAAAACAAAGCTTTGGAGAAGCAGGAGATGTCAGCTGAAGGAGATTTTCATCCTTCTGAAATAATCACCTTAGCATTATTGTAAGAGAGCCAACACCTGCAGAGATCATTAGATCCACTGACACAACTGGAAAACACAGATAAGTTTTCAAGCATACTTCTGCCTGAAAGCTTGCCCCTCTCCTGCAACTTTGTTATCTGGGGTAATGAAAACCTATTACCCCTCACACCTATAGAGCACCAAAGACGCAAGAGCACTATTTTTCTAGAGCCCAAGATGCAGCAGGCTCCCATTCCCACCACTAGCTCTCCTAGACTTACTCTCTTATTTACAGTCAGCTGAATGCCAAGGATACCAGGCACCTTGAACAAAACATCTTTGGTTCTTCGTGTATGTATGGAAGAGGGGCACCTGAGATGATGGTGTGACAAAGCAAGACAAAGCAGCAGCAATGAAAGGCCTGCAGGGACATTTCTTTCTTAGCTTCTACTTGCTACAGTTTGTTCAAAGGACAAGAAGAGTGGTGTTACTACAAGAACTGTGCAACATTTGTAAACGATCAAGATTAATCTGGTTAACTTTCCAAGAAAGCTCAATCGTCAAAGTCAGTTGAAGAACACATCAGAAAACAAATTGTATAAAATGCCCAAAACTCACATCCAGCAAAATTAAATTAGCAATACAAGACTGATTATCCTCCTTCAGGGGCTAATCCACCACTGATATTGTGAATGTAAGAATTACACATTAATGTCACGTATGGAATTTCAAATTATTCTTAGCATTCGGAATGAAAGTTCAGGTCTCATCAGCCAAAAACATAGTAAAAACACTCTGGTGCACAAGCAGCACCCATATGGACCTTTGAAAGCTTTGTCCAGTCCTAAAGGAAATGGTAGAGGGTGGTGAAGGTCAACATAGACACAGGAGATGAACATCCCCCGTTTTTCCAGTTGGCCAGGGTAAGGTACCTGTCAAGCCTTTCACCCAATAATAATTGATTAAACACCAAATCTGATTCCCTGGAACAGAAGCAAGAGTACTGACACATACAGAAACCTAAGGCAAATCTATCTGTCTGAATTCAATGCTGACATATCTTGGGGTGGGTGAGCCCCCTCTACCCAAAACCCAGACTCCAGTCTCACTCGCAGCAGGTTTGGAGAGCCTTTGAGAAATTCAGATGCAAGAATCACATAATGGGCAGGGTTGGAAGGGACGTCTGGAGATCATCTAGTCCAACTCCCCCTGCCAGAGCAGGGTCACCTACAGCAGTTGCACCAGATGGCACCCAGGCGGGTTTTGAATGTCTCCAGAGTGGGAGACTCCACAACCTCTCTGGGCAGCCTGTGCCAGTGCTCCACCACCCTCAAAGTAAACAAGTTCCTCCTCACGTTAAGATGGGACTTCCTTTGGTCACGTTTGTGCCTGTTACCTCTTGTCCTGTCACTGGGCACCACTGAAAAAAAGGTGTTCCCATCCCCCTGGCACCCTCCCTTTAAGGATTTATAAGCATTGATAAGATCCCCTCTCAGTCTTCTCTTCTCTAGACTAAAAAGGCCCAAGTCTCTCAGCCTTTCCTCATAAGAGAGATGTTCCAATCCCCTAATCATCTTTGTAGCCCTTTGCTGGACCTTCTCCAGCAGTTCCCTGTCCTACTTGAACCGGGGAGCTCAGAACTGGACACAGTACTCCAGACGTGGCCTCACCAGGGCAGAGCAGAGGGGAAAGATGACCTTCCTTGACCTGTTGGCCACACTCTGCTTGATGCACCCCAGGATGCCATTGGCCGCCTTGGCTACCAGGGCACATTGCTGGCTCATGGTCATCCTGTTGTCCACCAGGATTCCCAGGTCCCTTTCCACAGAGCTGCTCTCCAGGAGGTCAGCCCCCAACCTGTACTGATGCATGGGGTTATTCCTCGCCAGGTGCTGGACCCTACACTTGCCCTTGTTGAATTTCATAAGGTTTCTTTCTGCCCAGCACATACTGAAAACAAGAACTGAACATCTCAAAAATGCTACATCAAGTAACCAAACAAGTCAAAGAATTCACTAAGGCTCACTTCAGGTATTGAAAAAGCATGCATAAGGCTACACATACATTAATAATATATGTGGGAGGGACTCTCTATCAGGGAGTGGAGTGATAGCACGAGGGGGAATGGTTTTAAACTGGAAGAGAGGAGGTTTAGGTTAAATATCTGGAAGAAATTCTCTGAGGGTGATGAGCCCCTGGCCCAGGTTGCCCAGAGAAGCTGTGGCTGCCCCATCCCTGGAGGTGTTCAAGGCCAGGCTGGATGGGGCTTGAAGCAACCTGGGCTGGTGGGAGGCATCCCTTGCCCAGGGCAGGGGGTGGAACTGTATGATCTTCAAGGTCCCTTCCAACCCAAACCATTCTATGATAATACACCACTCATCAAAAAAAAAAAAAAAAAAGGTGCCCCAGGTGCCCCACACACACTTGCATGAGATACGTAACTGAAACTGAAAGATCTCAAAATGCATGTTAAAGAGTATGAATACACAAGAACAGGGAGTTCAGGGAGTTAAGATCAATCAATTTCCCCTACAGTGAATAGCATACTGCTTTATTCACTAACCCTACATGTAGGAAAAGAAACAGACAGCACCCTCCAAAATTACCAGCTTTGTTTTTGTAGACCCAGTAACATAATTATGTCACCTGCTTCTTTTGATGGTAAGTCTGAAAAGCCAGGTGTGCAAGTGTCCACATATATTTTTTGAATTATGTAAAATAAATAATACATAAAATAGGCACTGCCTCAACAGTTTCAGGCAGTGGAATATTATGACCAAAACAATTAAAAAAAAAAAAAAAAAAAAGAGAGAGAAAGAAAATTGACTCCAGCACCAAAATGTTCAGTCTTACAGGAACATAAATGGATTTACTGGAGTGAAGGCTCCTGGTTTGCACTGGTGACTAGTATCTACAAACTAGTTACTCAGTACTGCCATCACCCTGGCTATATACAGAGTCTTGGCTTTTTCAGTTTTGTTTTTTTGTTGTTGTTTGTTTTACTGGGGTTTGTTGTTGGTTTGATTATTTTTTTTTTCTTTGGAGGGGGGAAGGGGGAGAGACAGCACAGAAGCTTTCCATTTGCCTGTCCAGATGTTTTGGGGTTTTTTTTGGTGGTGGTTTTTCCGTTTTCTTTTGTTGCTGTTTTTTTTTTTTTTTTTAAATGTAGTTATACTTCTTACCATCTTGGCACTGAAATGGCCATGAGCAAGCTCTCCTACAAAAGTAAGCTTCTTGGGTTGTGATGTCTGAAGAAGATGCTTTTTCACTCCTTCTATGGCTCTCATATAGTCTTCCAATAGTCTGTGAATTAAAATCATTCCCAGTTAGCTCACATACATGCAGTAAGAAAACTAGCTGATGTTCAGTACAATCCTTTTGGAGATTGTTATTTCAGTCTAACGAACAATATTTAACCAAATGTGAAACGTAACAAAAATACCTCAGTTTCCATCAACTGGACATTAATTAATTATCGCTACCATGTAGTAGTATTTGGTTTCCTATTCAAGTATTAAAGAAAACATACCCCCAGCTCTTGTTTCTAGGTAGTAAGGAGTTTTATTTCAGGAATACTTAGAAGTACAGTAATTCAAATCACAGCAAATATAGGCTGGTAAGGACTTCTTGCAGGTCTCTACTTCAACCCTATGCTCTGAAGCAGATTCAATTAGATCAGGTTGCCTGAGGGCTTATCTGAGCAATTTTTCAGTAACTCCATCCAAAGATGTGGTATTACCTCCATCCAAAGATGGAGATTCAATGACCTTGAGCAATCTCTTCCAATGTTTGACCACTCTCATTGCGAAACATTGTTTCACAGTATTTAATTGGAAATTCCCTTGTTTCAGTGTACTTTTAGGTGGAAAAAAACCCCGCTGAATAATTCCTTTTTGAGGCTCACAAAATGCCATCGTTTATGGTCCTAAAGACAATGGCTCTCTATTTACAGTGAGGTATGGCTTGGAAATAGCAGCAATGCAAACTTCCTTTGTAGAGATGCACCCGATCTGATATAAAGAAATGCCTCAGAGAGGCACGTTGTCACTCTATGCATTAAACCGCTTGACGTGAACAGGTCCAACATAACCAGCTTGTAAGCAGAAAAAAACTGCTTGGATTTTTTGTCTTGTTTTAGAGGAAACCTTCTTTGCCAACATCTCTAATTCCTCTGCTCCTTGCAAACATTCTCTTCCACTTAACCAGTGCAGATAAGAGAAACATAAGAGACCTAAAGCAAAGTTTACACAAACGTCAAACTTCAGTCTCTCTAAGAAAAATTATTCCTTATGAACTAAATCTCCCACCTCAACCATCTTCTGGGATTCACCTTTCCCTAACAAACCCAGAGAAAACGCAGACATCAATGGTGAAATGAAGTATCATCAGTATTTCAGAAGCGTCTAATTTTGCTCCTTATCTACTGCAAAGACTTAATTCTCTTCTGTCTGTAACACTCCTCCCATCTGATGTGCTGAGGAAGAAAAGTTTTCTGAGGAGGAGAAGTTTCGAGACTAACCCTAACTCTCATGCTGGTTTTACATCATGTTACCACAGGTCACTCTTGCTTGCCTAGCTTGCTTTTATTGCAGTGGTATTTTCAGTGCACTGTTGGGCACACACATTATTTTTCTTTAAGCAGCAAACTACAACAAAGTTTTACAGCTCACATAATTCTCACATTGATATGAGAAGTGGAAAGAACTTACTCATTTTCTTTTTTCCCACCCTGAATCCATTGCTTGAGCAAATACTCATAGTAGCTGTCAGCTCTGGCTCCCAGAGTATAGACACCCAAGTGAGTGAACTGCCCGCTATTGGTGTTTATGAACATAGGCACTAGTCCATCATTTTTTCCTGAGAGGGTGTGAACATGCTTCATCACCTCATCTACAGCTTTCTAAGAGAAAGAAAACAGCAAACATAAATTACAGGTATAAATGATGCACAAAACTGTGGTTACTAAGTTCAGGTCAATAACAAATCCTTAACTATTCTTCCTCAAATGAGCAGCAGGGACATCAAGTTCAGCTCATGCATTATATTAAATACAGGACTTCAAACTTTCTGACTCTTAAAACTGATGTTCTGGGTATATTTAAGTACTCTGAAATAATTATAACTATTTCCTTTCCTTCAATTAAGCCCACTCAAAAGCCGGTTCTATGGCAGGGGACCATGAGCTGACTTACTCATATTTGCAAAGTAGAAGTCCAGCTAAAATAACAACTACACGAATCATGCAATAGCTAAAAATTCATTATTTAACCACACTCTTCAAAACTTCAGCTGTGGGCCCAGCTTAAAACAATAAAACAGCATCGCCAAACAAAAAGAAGAGTGGAAAATACTTTTTTCTCTGGAATTATTTTTTTTCAACTAACTTTTCCTTATGCCGTGACCTGCTGTTGGACCCTTATCTAGCGAGTCACATTTCAGTTCCTTGGATGGCAACATCAAGGTTTTGTTCTTTGCATTTAGATAATGGCATCAAGAAACCACGCTGTCCTGGTTCCGGCAGGGTGCAGGGGGCAGGTATTCCATACCACGTGACCCATGCCCAAGCTATAAGAGGAGCTAGCAGGGGCGAGGAGAGAAGTCACTACTTGGGGGTGGGCTGCGGCAATGCGGGTCAGGTCGGTCCGCTTCACGGTGGTACTGTAATTGCGTTTTCATCTCCCCTTTTGCTGTTCTGTTACACTGCATTATTTTAACCCATGAGTTTTGCCCTGTCGATTTCTTTTTCCACGGCTGTGGGAGCTGCACGAGCAGCTGTGGTTCTTTGTTGCTGGCTGAAGCCAAACCACAACACACACACAGCATTCTAACAACATAAAGCAAGGCACAGTTTCACAGTCCCCTGTTTAACTTAGTATTTTTTCAAAATCTGGTAATAGTGTCAAACAAAAATGTCAATGATAAAAACTGGGGGCGCTGGGGGAGAGTGGGGGTGGTGTTTGGTTTGGCTTTGTTGTGGTTTGGTTTAGCTGTTTGTTTGGGTTTTTTTGAAATCAAAAGCTGTTTCTGAGGGAGAGAAATAATTACTCACCTTCACTACTGCTTTTTGGTATTTAAGAAAATAATTGGAATTACTTTGTTTCTTTTCCTTCCCTCATCTAGAGTTTCACAACTCATGTAATGCGACTTAGAGACTAGAGAGACCACACCAATTGATAGAGAGTCAGTGGTGCTGCTGCAGAGAGGTGGAAAAAGAGAAAAACATCGACTGATTCTGCAATACCTGGAATTTCTCATCCCCAGTGAGACGAGAGAGCTCCCTAAACTCCAGCTGAATACTGGTCACCTCTGCCACAGTGCTGTCAGATGTCCAACGAGGTGGATGTGCAGTGCCCCGGCCAATGTTGACATCAGAATATGGTATCTTGGAGGGGGTCTTGAATGCTGGCATAAGCCTGTTCCCAATGTCTTTCTAAAGAAAACCCAAGAGCACAGGACAAAACAACAGACAAAACAAAAAATAAATATATACACACACGCACAGCCTTTTAAATTTTCTTTCACCAAGCAAACAGAAAAAGAGAATAGTTTTAGCTTAGTCTTAGATGGTGCGAGAAAGCTAAGGGTCATGGATTTATATAAAATAATGAGTACAAGTTTCTACTTTGTTCCTAGTATTGCATGCCTCACTAGAGTCTGCAGTCCCTATGCAACATGATGTAATTCCGAAGTCATTGACTGCATCTAGCTAATCTTCAGAGGTGGCTGATGCTGTTAAGATACATAGAACGGGCGATAAAATAGAACTATTACTCTTTGCCAACGATTTATTTCCTCTTTTGTTTCATGAACTTTATTATGGTTAGCTCTTCATCAACAGAGGAACAGACATATAAGAATACCTGATAAAACCCAGCACGACTCTGAGGTTATCCACAGAGCAAACAAAGGTGCAGGCTTAAAAGATTAATGGTAAATCCCTTTCCCACCACTTTAAGTATGGAGCTGTTAAAAAGCATCAACATTTAACTCTCTGATGGATCTTCCCTCAACTTTGTTCAATATGGAATACATAATCCAGGTTCATTTGTAAGACACTCACAGCTTTTTCCAGGAAGAGGCTATCTCCAGAGAGATGGTAGGTGCTCAGCAAGCCCCCCAGGATACGAATAGTGCTCTCAAAGAGGTTCACATCCACGTTTTTATCAAATACTAAACTGTTTGCTACCCATTTTCTTGCTTCTTCAAACTCTGCAAAGTATAACAGAAAAGGTAAGGTCCTCTTTCACAGAAGCCTTAGCATTCATCAGCTTGTAAGAAAGACTGGCAACCTCAAACCATGGTAAATCCCTTTCCCACCACTTTAAGTATGGAGCTGTTAAAAAGCATCAACATTTAACTCTCTGATGGCAACCTCAAACAGAACTTTCATTTATATAACATTTGTTATTCAGAAGAAACCCCAGGAGCTTTCCAAAGGAATCAGCAAAAGAACTGCTATAAAATATGAAGAAGGCTTCACCAAAAACCCATTTTCAACACATCTAAATTATTAATAATTTTTTTAAAAGCTCTATGCAGTTCATAAATATTTTTTTATGAAAAAATGCACGGCACATCAACTTCATGAAACTTCAAGATAACTTGCTCAGGCCTAGAGCTGCAAACACACGATACGGAGCTTTCATCTGACTTAATTCTTTCATGGTTCTGTCTCTTCTACCTTTGAAGTTTGTGTTAAATACCGACTGTTTATTGTCCCCTTATTAGCAGCTCTGTTCTTCCTATCTTGACACAAAAAACAGCATGATTGCTAAATTTTTTACAAAAGCATCTATCTACCAAGGTTAAAAAGATACAGTTCCAGAAATTTTTAAATACCACTAAAAAAACCCCCACATAACAAAAAAAAAAAACCCACACCACAAAACCAAAAAAACACACCCCCAAACACTGAAATACTGATTAAATGAGGGTTTTTTGCAACAGAAATGCAGAATTTTTGGCTTAGTTTTGGTTAGCCTGGAGGTTTCAGGCTAACTACACAAGACTGATGGGTAGAAAGCCTACAGTAGCTATATAATGGCACAAAGATAGCCCTAGGGTTTTAGTACAGAAACAAAAATCAGGAAGCTTATTAATATGTTCCTCGGTTTCTAGTAGATATATACACTGTTACATGTAACAGCAGAGTATTTTTTTTCCTGGCTCAAAATTGTATCCAAGAAAAATGCTGTCTTTTAATACTAGTTGGGGGATTCTAATATTTATTTTTATACATATTATTTATATATATACACACACACATATATATACACACATATATATGTGAGGGCATATTTGCCCTCACACGAAAACTAGTTGTTGGCCACACGTAATAAATGCTCCCCTCAAAGAACACCAAACATGTACTGCCTGAATAGAAAATAAAGAATTATTTTAGAGGGAAAAAACGGCAGAGGAAAGAAAATTACCTTCTTTTAAACCTAAAATCCACATGGTATCCAAGGCATCAATTAAGGTAAGCCCAAGTCCAAACCACTCGCTGTAGGACTTGGACAAAGGCTTCAGCTCATCATGACCCCAGGCAAAATCCTTGTATCCTTTCCATGCATGGCGGAATGCTTCTATCACAGCCGTCTGACGTTCATTTATGGGCACTGTGAAAGGAAACAGCACCTTGCTCAAGACTTCTGCAGGGGAGTTATGCAGCTATACCAAACACCATTTTGCTGCATTCTACCCAAAATAAACTTTCTTCCAGCTAAATGATCAGTGTAATGGAAAAAACATCCTCAGATTCTTTTCAGTACAGCCTTTCCTCTGTGGAATAATCAGTTAGTGTTTCTGGACAGCAATTCAACCAGGTGGAAACAGAGATCTCTCCCCGGTAAAGAAAAAAGTCGCTTCTGCAAACAAAACATTAAAATAATCACATGCACAGTGTTAGATGAGTATCACTAAAGCTCAAAGACCTGAAAGTCAGGAAATACCAGAATCAAGATTGCTCAAATCAACTGTAATTCAGCTGCTGAATACCTATGCTTAACAATACAATCCTTGGCTAATTTACTACATACAATTTTTTTCCTTCATATTCCCCGTCTTATTCATTGCTTTCTGCTAAATTTAAAATCAGTTATACAAAATGATTTCTCTTGAACTTTTCACTTAATACAAAAAAGGAAGAAAATTTACATTTTCCCTCTTGTCTTTCTCCGTGGTTCTACTGAAATTTTTGCTTGCAATTTGCCGTAAAGTTGAGCTTATGTTACACATCCAACACGAAAAAATTCAAGCCCATTAGCTGAAACTTTGCAATGAGCTGGAAGGAACAGCACATTCAACATGCACTCTGCAACCCACTGACATAGACCCTGGCCATTACAGCCACAGCAAACAGCTTCTGCCATGGCATTGTACAAATCAGGTAAGTTTTACTTATGCATCAGAATATTCTTTATTCAATACTGAAAACTGAGACTGAAATTCAATCAAAATTCTGAAGGCTAATAAGCATGAAGGCTGTCATGGTGGACACTGAAAGGCTTGGATGTTCTAAGCAAATAATCTTTCCTACACTTTTTGTTTCCTTTAATTAAAATAAATAAATAAAGTACATGTGTGCAGGAAGGAATTGCACAATTTCAACCATAAAAGTGAACAGAAATAAAGGTATCATTAACTGTACTTTTACCTGGTTCCTTCTGGTCTTCAGCTTCCACAGATGAAGGTTTTTCTGATTCCTTTATTTTACTAGATGGAGGTTCAGTGTTTTGGTCAGGTTCTATCACTGCTCCTCTCCAGCTACAAACACAAAGGATCATAGTTAAGACTTAATTTGATCACAGAAAGTCATGCAAATGAATGAGACTTATCCCTGCATTTCCTTTTTCTCGCAATACTTTGATAAAACAGGAGTTGGATTTTATATCAAGGATCAAAATAACTATGTTGTCCACTAGATAATTTTTCTGTTCAAAAAGAGCACTTTGCAACAGAGAAATTTTAATGGATTGAGAAATGTATCTTACAGGCTTTTGCAATTTCGTTAAATATCTTGGCAATGGAATTTAACAAAGAACTTCTAAAAATAACTAAACTACCTGAGAACACTGTATTTATTAGAAGTATTTTGTTATCTAATAGTTCTGAAATGATCATAGGAGCCACTAACACTAAATAGTGCCACACAAATGACAATCATTTAAAAATCATGAAGGAGCACAAAGGACGAGCCACTTAAAGTACCTGCTTTTCTACCAAGGGGTTCACAAGCCTTCCCTACCACCACAGGTGTATAAATCAGTTTTTACAGGTTTTTATTAAGAATCTCCTGAAGGAGAACTCTTTTCAGAATGGACTTCAAGTCAAGCCAAGTTCATATCAAGATCAAACAATCTCGACCATGCTGTTTAATGTATAGATACATCACCTTTGAGTTCATTATATGCCTCCTATTGGAACCAGGCTAATAGGACCTTTAAAGTTTATATCGTTTACAGTCAGCATACCTTATTACTTACATAAATCCCAGTATTTCATTTCTTACTTTCATTTTTTAAATTTGTAACTAGTCTTCACTATGCTTTCATTGCTCTCCTAAGTTTTCTTGTTACCACCCATTTAATTCTACGAGTTAGAGCGTAAGTGGAAGCACAGGAATAAAAAACTTCAAGTCATTCTGAGAGATTTCAGATAATACCAACAGCCAAAAGGCAGGCACAGTTCTGATGCTATGATCAGCTCAGCTATGTTGATGCCGAAAAGACACAAACATATAAAAGAAAACAAGCCTACTGTTCCAAATCTTAAGAACCTCTGCTGAACTTGTAGCAGTCTTCTCTGTATCCAAGTTACCTCCCTTCAGTTATTCCCAAATCAAAATATTCCAATCAACAATATCTTAGGGAATAACTTTGTATAAATATAATCACAGCAGCATAAACCCTCTCTAAAAGACACTACTATATTTGCATAAGGGGTCTTTGAACTGTATCATTAACCTTTTATAAGAAAGGAGTAAGCATATCTTGTACAGTTATATGCACACAGCTACATACACGTCTACGGCTTCTGCCAGTTCAGCTTGGGCTTACTGTGTTTCATGGCATCGCACCCCAACACTGACACTGGTATAACTTTCCACATCTGGCCCAGGACAAAGACACTTGTGACAGTATTAGTGTATTGATACTGGTACATTAATATTTACTGCAAAACAAACAGCAGAAACCTGCAGACACTGAGAATTCTCCTGAGCATTAAGAGTGTCTAAGCATATTAGAAATACAGACAGCCTTGTAGGGCTCCAAATCCTCTGCAGTTCTTTGATGCAAACAGTAAAAACAGAAAAGCTACACATTCCCCGAAATTAAATAAATTTCCTAGCAATATCAACAGCTGTCAGGCCAGACCTGAAAACAAATATATGCAAGGAAAGAAATCAACCTCAGACACAGACAACAAAAAGCCTTTCCAATTTTCACTCCAACGTGCAATGGATCTCGGGGCGGAGCACTAATTTGACAGAAATATTTCTACCTGATAATGGATTTCTCCGTTTTCTCTTCTTTATCAGCCTGGACCAGCTCTTCTACAACCCTGCTGGTATCTTGTCGGGTCTTCAGCCTCACATCCCTCCGTGGTGCCTTGATATGAAGATTTGAAGGACCACGCCGAACATGAGGAGGTTTTGGCGGCTTCTGAGAAAAATAAAGGAAAAAAAACATGCCTGGTATGTTGCAGAGATGGTAAAATTTCAACCCATAAATCAACAGCACTCCAGTGATAATCATAACTTCAGATAAATCTTATTTTGATATTGTATCAGTATGCAAGTTCTGCCCTGAATGGAAAGTATGCTACAAACCTTGGGTTTTTGTTTGCTTTAAACCTTTCGTAAAGTTATCCAGTTTTTAAGTTGACACTGATAAATTACTTTTAAACTACCTCTAGTGCTACCAGATTTTAATTTAACACAAGGCACTGCCAAAGGACTGTAAAGATATTTGATTCCATTTTACTAGACACAGCAAATTTTTATTAGAATTAGCAAAAAAGCACACACAAAAAAAGCTTATACAATGCCAGTGTTAAATAATACCAAGAATTACTCTACAGTAATGCAGTTACACATTTGTACACAATGACAGAAAGATTTAATACAAAATTTTGTATTCATTAACTGGAAATCTGAGGTAAATACACGAAGAGCAACACATGCATACACACAGTAACCAGTATTCCTCTACTCCACTAATCCACACAGTCAGTTCATGTTTTTTCCCCTGTTGCATCCCCCACAAATGTAACCCTTCAAAATCTACTAACTTCTGTTCTGTTTGCTGCTATTTTTCAAGCTACCAGAAAAGCTACTCCAATTCAGTGTGACACTGGCCGTATCCTTCATCTCATATTCAGCCATGGCTCTATTTAGGCTCCTCATAACAGCAAGACTGGTGTCCAGAGTACTCCAAGTCCAAACAAATTAATCATTGCAGGAAAGTAAAGCCTCAAGTAAGAGGTCACGAGGACCTAAAGTCCTGGCACTCCTAGGTATACCAGTGATTAAGAAATAGTATACTAAACACTTAAATAAAAAAGGTAAAGCCAAGAAATACTATACCAAAGCCCTTCCTGAGGAGAGCATTCCACCCAGAGCAGACTTCTATTGCAAGTTTTAATTCCTTTCTCCTCAACAACTGTTGCAACCAAGCGCTATTTGCAGCTTTCACAAACTCTTTGGTAGTTTTATAAAACTTATTTCTTCTCATAGTACCTGCGGTGAAAGCTCTGGGTCATCTCCAAGGTTGGCATCTGCTTTCTGGGGTGCTGGTAGTACAGCTGGATTTGCCAGCTTTAATCCAGGAATTTCTGGTTCTGTTCTCTGATCATCCAATGATTTGTTTGTTAGACCTAGACACACAAAGCTGCTCAGCACAAGGAATCAACAGTTGAGGCTCCAGCTAGAAATTTATAACAGTTTTCTGCATTCATATACTAGATGCATCTCCAAATTGTGTTTCCATTCACAAAACACTGATAAACACACACTAACTCTTAGACAGAAAGTGCCTTTTCACATTAACACTCTCCCTAACATACAAGGTGGCTGCTAGAAGGAACATACATTTTTAAAATTGCTATTATTTTAGCTTCTCCATACAGACAGTAAGGTAATATCAAAAGTCAGTGTGCCTTCATATTGTAGAAAAGCTTGGAATTTCTAATCTGATGGACAATCAAAACCAAGAGAGGATTATTTTATTCAACTGTTTAGGTTTGGGTTACCAGTATCTACATACAAACGTAATAAAAAACCCGACAGCCTCCAAATCTTGATTGACTAAAGCAAAATGTTGCTCTAGTCAAGATAAATAAAAGGCATATGAAAAATATTTCTAATTAAGCAGAAACAAGTCATTGAAACATGTCCCATCAAATCACCTCAGAACTGCGCTTTAATGGACACACCCAATCATTGTCAATAAAAATTAAAACTAGTTATAAGAACTACGACAATCTCTTAAATATAACAGCAAATTCCAGTAACTCTGAGCTATATAGAACACATACTTTTCCACGGTTCCCCCATGCTTGTGTACGAAATGACTCCACAGACTGCCAAGAAGGCAAACAGGAAGAGAATTACGCTCCGCTGTAGTCGAGACAGCTGCTTCCATTTCTTTAGGAGAGAAAATAAGTAAGAGGAAGAACATTTAGCATGACATTAAGAGTCTACTCAGTCAAAAATAAACTCTTACCGGTTCATTCAGAGCAAGAAACACAGAACTGAGTAAGTTTAATTTTACCCTTTGTTTCCAACTGCAGACATCCATTGCTTATTTCCTTTGAAGACAGAGAAAATAGAAATATGACATACAAGCATATGGCACAGCAGGCTCAGAGAAACATCAGAGCCACTTGCTTCAAGAACCTCAGAGACTGCCAAGTGCTGAGATTCCCAAAGAGAATCACAACCTTTGCTGGCTGACCTGTGCATCTGCCCAGATGTCAGCTGGGAAATAAGCCAAAACCCTCTTTCCTCCCTTCTGGGTGGGGAAGCACTGCAGATCACACATGCAAAATAAGAAACAGAAGAAAGTGGCAGAAAAACTAAAAATGTTACTGCAGCAAAGAAGAAAGGCCCAAAACAAGCTCAAAAAACAAGGCTCAAAACCAGCCATTGGACAAGAAAAGCCAGGCATCCTGCCTCTGACAAACACATGTGGAACTGTCACACAGAACAGGTCCCGCCGCCACACATACAGTCACCGACCCACAGCAACATGAAAATTAAGTAAACCAACAGAACAATGACCAAGACAAAAAAGCACAATGTTTCCAAATTTAGTCCTGGGCAAAAATGTGTTTTTAAAACTGCAGTATATACAACGAGAATCACTAAAAGTCAGACAGCACATGCTATATTAGCCTGAGAGAGAAGCTTCCTCCATTTAGAAAAAGAGCAGTTGGAGTTAAATATTAACTGCTAAACTACCACTTTGCTAGTTTTCTAACTAAGTTTTCTAGTTTTTTTAGTCCTACCAAAATTCACCAGAGCAGCATTTTGCTTCTAGTTACTTGTTTGAGCAAACAAAGAGGGCACTTCAGTGCTAATGCTACACTTAGGAACAACCTGCAGTTTCCTACAAACCATTCTACGCCCCACAGCACTTTCCACAGTCCTCATGTCTTAACAACCAGTGGCTGCAAATGTTTCAGTGAAGAACTGTCAATGTGCTCGCATCACCGAGCCCCAGCACACAGTTTGTGTTTTCCTCTCACACTGCTGACATTAATCCTGTACACCCTTCCCTACGCACACTGCAAGGTGCTGATCCCACCCCTTCACCTTCGGCTCTACCTGCACAGCCAACTGCATCATCATCTCCCAGTTGCAGAAGGACGCTCAAAACCCAGCAGCCCTGTGTTTCCTCACGGTAGGATGGGAAGAGGCATTAACTGTAGTGTCTTGGGATGGGCAGGGATGAGGCACAAGAACACAAGGGCATTCACCACCATATTACTTTTTTTTTTTTTTCTGACAATGAATAAGGATAAAATGAAGGGTGAAACATCTTACGCCCTGTCCCCACATTTCCCTATCCGTTAATAAGAGAGAAGCTGCCATACTGTGTCCCTAAACAAGTTCTTCATATGCTTCATCTGTCCACCTGTAAAGCCTCTATAGGTGGCTATACATCATCTCCCACCTGCAACAAGGGTTATCTTGTCTCTGTGACTCACACTTTCCCACCCTGCCTCTCCAGCCCAAGACTCCCACCCCGAGTAAAGCTGCCTGCTCACTCCCTATCTCCAAGCAGACACAAAGGTCACTTCCACACAGCTCTGCCAGAGACCCCTCTTCTCACACTCAGCCTTCCCACAGAAAGCAGAACCATTCCCTTTGCTCTCCTGGGGCAGGGGACAGGGTTCCCCCTTCAAGCCCTAAAATATGGGAAAGGCACTAAGACCAAATCTCACCCCCCTGCCCTCCTACCTAGAGAGCACAGTGTTACACCCAAAATACCCAATAGCAGAGGTCAGGATTCCCCTCAAATGCACATCGCATCCCCCCGCCCCAGCTTTGTTCACAAAATTAAGATATGACTTGGAGCACCCTCAAGCAGCCTGCGCTCCACAAACCCCTACCAGGTGAGGGAGCTGCCACCCGAACGCTGCCGAGAGCGGAGCTCCCAGCCCTGGGCCACCATTCCCCAAGGCCAGGGCATCCCCATCGGCAAGAGCCCACAGCTTCGGCCCCCTCCCCAGCTCGGAACGGGGGGTGCCGATCCCGGACCCCAACACACATTCCAGCTGCACCCAGGCCCAGGGCCACCCCTTACTGCCCACTACCGGCCCAAGAGCACTCCCTCATTGCCAGGGACCCCCGCAGCCGGCTCGGGGGTACCCCTC